ATCATTTTCTAATTGAAGTCGCGTCGAGGGACTTTGTCGACACTTTAGTGTCTATTATAAAATCGGTAATCATTGTTGTATAACTTTACTATCGTCTAATTCTTTCACTAACTTTATGCGAATTATATGTTAGAATAATTCCAATTCTGAGGTCGTACACAAATTGCTCGGATTGATTCAAATGTGGGGTACAGCTTTTGAGGGCAAACCCGGACTTACGTACGTAACGGACACCTATAAACTGTTAAAACACGAGGGTATGTCATTGATTTATTATCATCATTATCTTTTTGCCAATAACTGATCTGATCTTTATATCGTAATTACTTTCAGGTTGTATATTTCCAAAAGTTGATAAGGCAACTGCAGTCATGATTGATACTGCGACGGTAACATTTTAATTCCTTTATTCATAATTTATAAAATTATAGAATAAATGCTAATTTTATGTTTGTTAATGTGAATTAAGCCACCTGAATGGACTGATAGTGAATTTTGCGAGCGATGTAGAGCGCCATTTACCATGATAAATCGAAAGGTATTCAACAAAATTTTCAACCGAATTCCTTTATAATTTCATAGAAAATTTATTGTGACGGCTGATGCTGAAGTTTGGCTGATGTTGAAGCTAAAAAATCTGATTGGTTAGGGTTAGGGTGATCTGCAAAATTTAGCCAATCAGATTTTTTAGCTTCAACATCAGCCAAACTTCAGCATCAGCCGTAACATTTATTAATAGTATTCAACCTGGTATAATTAGCATCATTGCAGAAATTGTGGTCATACATACTGTGGTGATTGTTCTTCTAAAACAACAACATTACCGCACATTGGTATAAATGACCCTGTGCGTGTGTGTGACACATGTTACATGAATAAACAATTTAAAGCAAGAAGGTAAGAATAAAATAACGGATTTTCATTAAAAAAGTTATATTTCTTTTTTTTTAGCATATTATTTACGTCATTCTAGCATTAACCCTGCAGATTTCAAGCAATATTCAAGTTCTGCGCAACCCACATTATACTCAAATTCAATTTCGCCTGTTGTTAACGGAAATCATAATACATCGAGTCCTCAAAATACGGATAATGAGGATGACGCGGATTTGAAAAAAGCAATTGAGCTTTCCTTAAAAGAGGCTGAATTTAATAAAAACTATGTGCAGCCTGTACTACAAAAATCTGTAAAGAAAATTGAGCCTGCAGAACAAGAGGTAAATTATTTATTAATATTATTGTTATAATACCAACTATTTCTAAAAGCAAACGCCAATATATGAATTATATACATATATAGAAAGAAGATCTAGCTGCTGCTATTGCGGCTTCCCTCCAAGACATACATATCAGTAAACCT